TATCACTATAACGGGATATCCATGCCTGCTGCCCACGCGGATCTTGATATTTCTGGATAAGAAAACGTGTTTAAAAGTGCTAAGCATTTTTGTCCTTCATAAAAATGGAACATTACTACAATCGATATGAATGGTGCAACAGATGGGATAGTTAGTCGTCTTGCATTTTGAAAAGTAATTCGGTCTTTTTTTTTTTTTTTTTTTTAACAGCACAATGTATTAAAACACTAATACGGTTAATCTATCCAAATTCTGAAACTCGCAGGAAGAAAAAATCCACCCAATCCTATTTGTTTTTCCTCATAAACCCGTAAAAAAGCAATGTCATCCGATAGAAAAACGCTACATTATCACTATGCTGAACTTAACACAAAGTTTTTACAAGAGTTTGCGTACCTCCTCTGCTTTTTGAGTCAATAAACCAAAACATTTTTCTTGAAATCCTGAACCGAAATTTTCGCCTGCAACGCTAGAGACTCGAAAAAATTCTACTCAGCTTTCTATCTCTTGCAGGTTGAGCAATTTTTTTAAGCAAAATGATCAAAAAAAAGTTTCGTTGTATGAAAAAAAAAATTCTGTTAAACGAAAAAAAAAATAGCTAGGCAAGGCACACTTAGCTTGAACAAAGTACAGACCAGAGTGCTTAGTTTTGATTAAAAAAAGCAACCAAAAAAGAGAGAGAGGGAGACAGAGAGAAGAATTTGACAATTGATGACAGTATCAATTGATAATGATGATAACATATGAACCATGATAAAATCACTGCTTCTCAAACTTAAAAAAAAAAAAACTTAAATTTGACAGTTCTGACGAATAAAAAAACATTTAATTAATAAAAGTTTCACTGCCGAAAGAAATGAAATGTGGAAAATGAGGGGAAAAAAAATCATGTAAACCATGAATTCTGTACGAATTTACCGGGTAAAGCGCAAGTGAAAAGATGTGATTAAGATTTTTTGAGGGAGAGGAAAGGAAAATGAAATAATTTTTGTAACTAGGACAAATTTTTGCTAAGATTTTTTTTTGCATTTTGAGACTTTTTCCTCACTTGACAGATTCACAATGCAGAAAATCAAAGGTATCTTAAGACTGTACGAACTATCAATGTTGAGTTCCCGCTGTTATTAAATGTAGTCCTAAACCTCTCCCCTCCCCCCTTCCCCCTTCTCCCCTTGTTCATTTCATTAAAACCCTTCATAAATTAATGTCCTCGAATGAACTTTCCATACCAGTTTGATCAATTTTCGTTAATTCTATTTTTTTTTCAAAATTCAATTCTCTTTTTTTGATTTTCACGAATCCATATGTTTAATTCAATAGTAAATATGTCCAAGAGTTTTGCTTACATTTTGATATTTTATCTCAAAAATTTCTGCACCACTCGCTCTTTTTTTGAGCTCAAATTCAAGGAAGGATGCAACTCAGGATAAATGAGTAACATCGAGTGCTTTCCAGTCATAGTTCAGGCAATCCTAAAATGAATGAAAAACTTTTTTTTTTGTTTTTTTTTTATGCAAATTTTTTTTTTGGTACAAAAAGGATTATGTTTAAAAGCAATTACACCCCCAACCAATGACAATAATTATCACTAATACTGCTGCTGCTGCTGCTCCAACACCAGCTGAAAATAAACGCCCATCGTGAATTCGTTTCAGAAGCGGCGTGCTCCGCTCCATGCTCCAGTTACTGCAGTTGCTGCTTGTGATGTTCCTACGGCCGGAAACTGCTCATCGGATTGCATATCCAGTTGCCAGGGTGCACCTTTGATTTCCACTGCAACTGGTGGAGCTGGTGGTGGCTCCTCAACACGTGGCGGATGGTACAGGCCACGCTCTATGCGCTCCTGAAAATGTGTCGACAGTTCAGAATCTACCATATAAGACAAATTTAGTCTTTGGGAAAGTAGGAAAAACAAATTTAGTCTCTTCCTAGCCAACAGAGACGTAACTATCACCTTCTTCCAAGTGTACGAACACACCCGAGCTTTTTCGTCGGATGCACTGTAGCTGAACTGGTGAACCCCGGAACAACATATCAGCAACCCCGGGATTTTATGAGGTATCAAATTCTTGACAACACATCATCATTTTTTAAAGAAAAAAGATCGCAATTCTGAAGACTTACTTGCAAAAACTCTTCCTCTTGTGCGCGCAGTTGCTCGATGCAATCATAGACCAAATCTTCATCTTTACCAGCAACTACAACCAAATTCGGGTCTGGATCAGTACTTCGTGGAAAACGAAGCTCGACCTTGAACTCATCCATCAACTGAAAATAATCCAAATCTTTCCTTAATGCATTTTTTCTTTTTTAGCTGCTTGGGATTTTCTCTATCTTCAAACATTATTTATTATCTCAAGTCGTAATCAATTTTGTGAAACTTTATAAAATTACATTCAAATCATAATAAACACAGAATTTTTGCCACAAAGAAACAAAAGCACACTTTCCTTTTGTAAAAAATTCTCTCAGACGAAAACCAATGAAGCACGAAACTACGCCATATTTCGTCACCTCAACTTTTTGTGTAAGAAAATTTTCTAATCTCAAGAGATAATAATCTGGCTTCGTCCTTTCCCGACCTCGTGTATAGGCCATTTATCCTATCTCAATAAAAAATATTTACCCGTTTAAGATTACGACCTCTGTGACCAATGATCACCGGATGAATTGTACTATCAAGATAGATTTCTTGTGTGTAAAACGATTGTACTTCGCCAATCATTGCCTCCATTTCCTCCTTACAAGCTTTGCAGTTCGCTTCGTAACCTAAATCAATAGAAATTGATAAATGCATAATCATATTACAACCCACCATATTACAGTCGAACTTCCCAATTTGTCTTCATTTAGGAACGGAAATTTGTAAAACCTGAGATTTCCGTATAATCAGATTTTACTGATCACATAATAGTGAAAAAAAAGCAAAAACTCTATACATTAGTCTGGTTTTCTACGCAAAATACTGCCAATCGTAGAAATTTTTTGGCTAAATTGGAAAAAATATACATTTTGCACTTTTGTCCGAAAAACGCAGGCAAAAAGCGGGGAACGAAGTTTCAGGTAAAAATCAGGCAAATCATCAGATTAAGCAGTTCTGAACATATTTCATACTACAAAAGATATGGCTAAACAAAGTGAAAAAGAAGCGATTTTCGATCTGATAACCATACCAATCTGATTTTTCAGTGGAAATAGACAAAAGAAAGACAGTCTAGCAAAATGGAAGTTAAAATTCAAAATTTGGTCCATACTACACCTTTCGCGAAATGCAAAAGCATTCAGAAGTGACCTGTGTGATGCCATTTTGTAACAACAAACAAAAAAACAAATACCAAAGCAGCCCTTTTTTCGAGACTAAGAAGCAAACTAAAGCCGAATTCCCTTTCCTGCCAGTACAAAACTGTGCCGAAACTTATCACCAAAACGAAAAAAAAACTGTGGAAGAAAAGATTCTGTAAATAGCAGATTCAAACCGTACAGAAACACCAATGGATTTTACAGAAACTTGTGGAGTTTATAGGAATTCTCTAGCTTATCAGGCTAATAGTAAGGACAAAAATGAAAAAAAAAGTAAAAAAAAGCAATACCAATGAGTGTGATTGTATCTGATGGTTCGTCACCACGCGGGAAAATAATCTGCACATCATGCTTCGTATGCAGCTCCCTCACTGTCTTTCCACGTGCACCAATCAAACGAACGTGATACTCCGAGGGAATATCAAAACAGAGTTTGTAGGAACGCAGGCGCTAAAAACGCCCAAATATAATTGCATATAGCACTGAGTAAATTTTCTTTAAAAAATTTCTCATATTTACGAAAAAACCACTAAAGTGGCCAGGACTTTTCGGTATGAAAAAGGCAGAATAAAACGATTGGACTTTGCCGTCTTAGGTGTACCAAAGCTTTAACTTTAATGTGATAAAACAATACATTATGCCCCGACAGGACTTGGCTATTTTGGTTTGAGCTATCTGTCTTCAGCTTGCAATACCCTGTAGATACATTGCCAAGATTATTTAGAGAATTTAACCTGCATTTTCTATCACGTAAATGCGCCAGTTGTCATCCGAACGGCTATTTTCACGGAAAAAATAGTAATCCAAGAAAAATCGCACAAGAAAAACGAGATGAAGCATTTGTCGCAAAAATATTTGGTCAATTTAGTCTCTCGGTACGACAGAGAAACCTAAGCTCAACAGGGGTTTTCTTCCGATGAAAAACCGACACAAACTGTCTGCAGAGGAATTATCGCGATGCTACTGATAGACAAATTACTGCTGTAAGAGCTGCATGAGAAGGAAATAAGTCGAGAGGTAATTTGGAGCCTAAGAATGTTGGTACGAAATTTGCTACCAAACCAATAAATTCCTGACCAGAAACATAAAATAGACTCACAAGCACAAACACACACACAGACACACACCCACACCCACACACACCCACACCCACCCACACCCACACACACCCACACCCACACACACCCACACACACCCACACCCACCCACACCCACACACCCACACACACCCACACCCACACATACACACACCCACACATACACCCGCACATACACACACCCACACATACACACACCCACACATACACACACCCACACATACACACACCCACA